CTTGGGTTTCTCCTCACCCTTCTCCTTTCTTGGGTGATCCTTAAGTTTCGGAAAATCAACTTTGACATATCCAGGTTTCCTGCATTCAAGACTTTTATAATTTTTCTACCCTAACCTTGATGGTGCTTATGATTCTTTCTTAGAAAGCTTATGAATTGCCAAGTGATTAAGGCAATATCATCACTTTAATACTTGAAAGAATCATTGTCCGTGTTGTTGGCCTTCAACGCCATAGTTTTCTCCTTCTTTTTCTCACCTACATCAAGCTGTCTTTGGTTTACCCCTCGCACGTAAGCAATGAGTGACCCAAGTAATTTATCAATTGAATAAGTATTCAAATCCTTAGATTCAATAATTATAGTGATCTTAGCATCAAAAAAAGAAGGCAAGCATCTCAAAATTTTATTCACTCTTTCATAGTTAGTTAGCTCTCTTCCTAATGCTTGCAATGAGGTGATAATTTGAGTAAACCTAGTATACATGTAAGAAATTGATTCAGTAGGTTTCATATAAAAACGTTCATAGTCATGTAATAAAATATTCAACCAAGATTTCTTAACTACACTGGTTCATTCATAAGTAATACATAATTTATCCTAAATTTCTTTACCAATAGTACAAGTCGAAACATATATATAATCTTCTAAATTCAAAGAATAGAAAAAATAGTTCAAGCATTTTGCATTCAGTTGAGCAAAATCCTATCTTCAAGAGTCCATTGAGTAAAAGGAAATATAGTATTAATTCCATTAACTTTATGAGACAGAGTTGAATAACCATCCTTAAGAAGGATCCACGTGCGATAGTTAATTAATTGAAAAAATGTAAACTTGCAAGTTTTCCAAAATCATGAGGAATATTCTCAAATAAAAGTGGTCGTGTAATTTAATAACCTTCCCTAGTATTATAATTAGCAAAATTTAGCCATTGATCAAAATTCAAAAAATTTCAAAAACTCATTTTTATGAATCATGCTCTAATATCACTCGAAACTTCGACAAGGATATTAAGCACTTATGAACTATTCCTTAGGCTAACAGGCTAACCAAGAGGGGGGGGGGAGGGGAATTGGTATTTTAAAAAATTACTTCAATCAAAAACACAATTACAACCAAACCAAGATTCTCTATAGAAATTAAAGTGCGAAAATTAAATGCAGAAGTAAAATAAGAAAGAACACACCATATTTTATAGTTGTTTGGTTAACTTGACCCACATCCACTCCCTGGAGCCTCTCATATGAGTATTGCACTAAAATAAGTGTCACTCCTTTTTCCCCCATAGAAAGGAAGAGAAGCCTGCACAAAAACCCGTTTCCACCAACCACGATGAGGTAGAGAACCCAACTCCTTTTGCTTCCTCTTAAAATAGATAGAGAACCCAACTCCTTTTACTTCCTCCTGAAGCAGACATATAATCTCGATCAATTATTGAAATAGACCTCTCTAGAACCCCCAAGGGACCAGGGATGATGATCAGAGAAGACACAAATCCTTGCTTGGAGAAACCTTTGCGAAATCCCTCACAAACTCCTCCTCACAAAATCCTCTCTCTCTCCCTTGCTATCCCTCTACTCTTAGCTTTCTCCGGTCAAGACAGTATTAAAATATCTATTCTTGGAAAAATAAGAGAGCTTTATAAATAAGGGCTCCAAATTAGACCTAATTAGAAACTAATCATCAAAGATCATTCAAGACGATCGACCGATCATCCTGTATAATTAGTTCAATTTTAACACCATAAGCTAAGATGATTTGGAATAGTCAGGATGATTAGAAGGTTCATTAGTTTAGGTCATCCAGGATGATAGGCTATCATCCTATACAATTAGTTCAAGTCATTGAAGATCGTCCAAACCATCATCCTAGATGGATGTCTGAATAATGAAAAAATAACTAGATCGTTCGGTATGATCTTATGATCATTTGGGCTTATTAGTACAAAATGATGAATATCATCCAGAACATTGCCCTGAATGGGTGTCTGGATGATGAAAAAATAACTTTATCGT